CAAACATATGTACTTTGACCGAAACATGATTGCCAGATCAAAATGGAATTGATAAATGCTGCAAAACACAGCTTTTACAGCATACCTCTAACAAGTCCGTCACTCGTTAGACAACACCGCATACTCGAAGACAATGAGAAGCCCCAATTTGTACTTCAAATCTGCATCTTTCTTATCTACCAAACCATCAAATTGCTCGAGCAAGCCTTTCTTCATTATCTTCCCTTTGTTCTCCTTGAATAAATCTAAAAGTGAACTACTTCTTTTGGGGACGTCATAAGACACATCATCCACAATCTTTAAACCGCTTACAAGAAAGAATTCTTGTAACCCGAATCTGGCTTCATTTTCTCCAAATTTGAACCACACGTCGTCTTTTTCATTGTCGGGTGATTTCAAGGTCCTTGCTACAAGGTGGTGGATCAATTGAGACGACAATTTCAACTCCGGAATGTGCACTAGTGGCCGGAAGCAAGATTCCACAAATAAATCTTGATGTTCATCATCTAGATTCTTAAATACATGCTCGACAACCTTGAGGTCGCACCTATTGGTCACGACTCCGGAGCATGTAGGAGGTATATTGAAAGCATACTCCCTTTCGGTTCCTAAAAGCATAGAAGAGAGACAACATGTCATAAAACGGTAGAAAATTCAATCACAATATTAAGAAGTATAACATCAATCATAAATTACAACAATCACATGCATATTATTAAGAAATTAGAAAGTACAACACACGTTATATTTTGAAATTAACAAGCATAACATTCGTTACATCAATCACACCTATACACCTACACCTTCGTTATTTTAAACATTATAAGGATGTTTTACTAAAATTGTTTTGCCTTATATGCCAAAACTGAGTTGTAGTTTTAAGGATGAAGGTTGGTGATTTATTCTAGTTCAAGGCATATTAAGGCTTCAAGCATGTTGAAGCATTCAATTTTTAGTTGCTGCAATGATTAAGTGAAACAAAAAAAAAGTGCATGAACTTATACGAGAATTAAATTGAATTGTGGGTTTATTTTGTTTGAAGTATTTTTTTTTTTTTCCGAAACGATAGGGGTACTATTATAAATCAAAAGCGCACAAACGTGCGAATAAAAATACAAAGCTCCCAACGGGAGAAAAAATGGGAGGACAGGTCAGAAGACCGCCTAGAATCCCGCTAGCAACGCTAGAATAAAAACTCAAACTAAACAGACCAACGACTCGACCACGACCCCAAAGGGGTAATAGCAACACAAACAACTAGCAAACTAAAAGATCCCAACAGGGTAATACCCGAGTCTCGAATCCCATTGGGATAATAAAGTGACACTCGGGTTCACAGAGGTCAAACGACCCAGACCAAAAACACAAACCGAAAATACACTTACAACTAAAACACAGACCAACTAGAAAAAAGCAAAATAAACATAAAAGGAGCACAGCCTCCCCCGCCAGATACATCTAGATTGACGGCAGACAAACCAACTCCAACGACGGCTCCCGAGCACGGAAACAACCGCCCGCCACTGCATATAGCCTAGCAAGACGGGAACCCACACTCCAAAACTAATCGAAGAGCTGGCCCGCACTCCAAACACGTGCAGAAACCTACACAGCTCGGCATCACCAAGTCAGCCCGACTGAAACAGCAACCCATTTACCCCCGCCCGAAGACACAAACAGCCAAGCACAAACTGGAAGCGGCAACCGATCCCAGCAGAAGCTACGACTTCCCTATCACAGACAACAGCAATACCGAGACAAAAGCAGCATAAAAGAAGAGCAAACCTCCGATTGACATACCAAGTCAAAACAAGAAGCTGCCCCAGCCAATCGCCACTTCGCCGGCGAAAAGGCACAGTCCAACGGCAGAAAATAGGGCAAGCAAGGGGAAAATAGGCGGCGAACTAGCCAGAGCCAAGAACAGCGAACCCAGCCTCGTCCATGAACCAGCACCGCACCCAGACCCACACCGACGGCACCTGGACTCCTGCGCGCAACCAGAACAGAGAAGCTCCTCCGATGGCCAGCGTGCAAACAGAAAACAGATGCATCAATTGAGACAAAGGTTGGGCCTCCATGGACGAGCGATGAAGGCAGTCCACCGCCGGACCCGGATTTCCGGCGAGGGAGTATCGATCGGCGAGATTGAAGAGGCTAGGGTTTCGGTCGAATGAGATTGGGAACAATCGCTTTGGGGAGTGTCGTCTTTTTTCGCTCACTTTAGTCTAATGTTTGTTTGAATTCAAACTCATTTTTCACAAACAAATGATAATATGCTATGCGATAATTATTTGGAGGTATGGGTTTCTTTCGAAGTAATTCAGTTCAAATTCATTTTTCACAATCAAATGATAATATACTACATGTATAGATGTTCTATAAGTCATCTTGCATTAGATGATGTTTATGATATACCAATAATTCTAAATTTACTTTGGGCATAGGAAATAAACTTCACGTACCAAAGTTTTCTTTTACGTTATTCAGAAGGACTTTACATAGACGAGAGTACATTCGTTATGAGTTTCATTATGAGTATTTCGACACTATAACGAGTTTAAACTATCGTCCTGATGTCATATATAACGAAAATAGAATCGCTAACACGCCATTCCATCAAAATAGCCATAACGAGAGTAAATTCGTTATGATTTTCAACATAACGAATATATATTCGTTATGGTTATATTTCCATCCTGGTCGATTAATACACCTATACCTTCGCTATTTGATACATTATAACGATATTTTATTCGTTATAGTCATAATTTAAGTTATTTTTAATGGATTCTATCGATTTCTAAAAGAAATAACTATCGTTATCTCATAATAACGAGTGTGTATTCAGTCTAGTGTAATATATAATGAAAATAGCTTCATTGCTTTCATGTATACAATAAGTAGCATATCAAACATTTCATCAAACACATAGATTGCACCTTTTACTACATCTCATTAACTCAATCCTACAAACATTTCATCAAACATATACACCAATTATCATCTTCATCCCATCAAAACTAGTAGAATTTGATGAATTCATATAACACAATCAAACATTGCTCCAAGAATATCAAACCTAAACAACAAGAAATTTCAAAAAAGAACAAATTGACAAAAACCAAAACATTCCTTACCAAAAATTGACGAGAGAGAGCTCCATAACGTCGGTCGCGAGAGCTAGAAGGAAAAACAGAGAGAAGGTCGAGAGAGAGGTGTCGCGAGAGAGACAGTCGTCGCGAGAGAGGTGCGAGAGAGACAGAGCAGAGAGATGGTGTGTTCGGTTTTTTATTTTTTTAAGTTTCTGTTCGGTATTTTTTTTAAGTTTGAAGAAGATAGGAAGGGTATAAGAGTAATATCTCTTTAAATGTTATTTTGCATTATTTTTTTTTTTTGGTTTTTTAGTCAAGGGTCATTTTAACAATTTGTATTGTACAAAGGGTCATTTGAACTAAATTCCACTGAGACCGAGTGACCACTCACGACAACTCAATCCACAAAATCCCTCAATATCTTCCATTTGATTGCAAAACGACACCGTTGGGTGTGATGACCATTTAACCATACACAGGAGAATTCCCTCAGGTCAGAGGCGACATTACCTTTTCTAGGGTTTCCATTCTGCGTTTATAGCAATCAATTTCACTGGTTCAGTGAACGCCTAGTGATTCCCTAGAGGTTTTAGGGTGAGCAAGATAGTGGGGTGTTAATGGCATCGACTTCCAACGCTGGGGAGGGAAGTGGAACTTTGGCTGAGGAGATGACGCGGAGAATGCAGAAGTTCTCTCTATCGGGGAAGGAAAGTACTTTCGTAGGTATAAGGAATGAGGATATCAAAAGGACGATGGAGTAATGCAGTCGTAGTCTGGTGGGCAAAGTGATTGGCAATAGGCGAGCAATATCAGGTATCAGACGAGCAATGACGGCCATTTGGAGAATCCAACAGCCAATGGAGGTGAGAGATCTCACAGCAAATTTCTTTCAATTCATCTTTGAGGATAGGGAGGATATGCGGAAGTGATAGCGGGTACAAACTGGATTTTCGAAAATCAATATCTTATCCTTCAAGAATGGCGGAAAGGGGTTAATCATAATGATCCCATCTTTAACGAAATCAAGCTGTGGGTGCAAGTTTGTAATGTTCCATTGGAATGGTTAAGCTCGGAGGTAGGACTTAAGGTGGGGAGTGCCTTTAAAGATGTGAAGAATGTGGGAGTTACGGGAGTGGGAGGCCCTGGTGGTCGTGTTATTAGACTATAGGTGGTTCTTGACTTAACAAAGCCCCTACCCAGATGCTCTGTAATCAGGTTGGGTGATCAAACTACTACGGTATTCTTCAAATATGAGAGACTGGTGAATTTGTGCTATTACTGTGGAATGATCAGCCACTTGGATAGGGATTGCACCCGCAAATTGGAGGATGTGGAGAAAAGGATTCTAAAGGAGGGACAATTCGGGGAATGGATGAAAACTAGTGAACACAAAGGTGGAATTTTTGCAGGGAATCAGAGTAGATCCACAGATAATGAACAAGACACTAATTCTCGGTCCCTGCAAATCAGGATGTTCCACAGGAATCAGTTCTTAGGCTCACGCATAAATGGACTGAGAAAACCACCCCAATTCCAGGAAATCCAAAGCCTGGGAAGCAGCAGCAAAATAATTTGAGTATTGTTGAATCAAGTTCCCCTAATCAAAACAACACTCAATCCAGCCAGCCAAGAACTCAGAATAAGCCTTTATCTCACAATTTAGATAAAGGAAAAGATTTGATTCAGGATAAATCTCATGCTCAGGAAGGGAAAATGGAGGTGGAGGTAGAGGGAAGTCACGGGCTGATTTCAGGGAGTCTAATTCAATTCCAGGTTCAAGGGGAAACACAAGGCAAAACCAAAGCCAAAACATGGAAGAGAATGGAGTCCACAGATAGCAGACTACTGAGGAAGTCAAGAGCCATAAATGATGTGCCTGCCAAAGGAGTGAAAAGAGGAAGGAACAAGCTAGGGATTCATACCATTGATGAAGAACCAGCGATGGAAGAGCCAACTAATCTAAAGAGGATCAAAAATACTGAAGGACAAGTGGAGAAAGCCAACCTAAAGTGGCCCCGAAGTGATCAATTAGAGCTACGGTGTGGAACTATAGAGGTCTGGGTGGACCCTCTACAGTTCCCCAGATCAAGGAGCTTTTAAAGACCCATCACCCACATTTTGTGTTTATATTTGAAACAAAAAATACAAATCGCTTTGTTTTTTCAGATTGTAAGAAATTGGGTTTTGCTGATAGATGGAATATTGTAGACCCAGTAGGGTTGAGTGGGGGGCTTTTATTATTATGGGGTAAAGATGTGGATGTTTTGCAGATTATCAGTCACTCCTTTTGCATAGAAGTTCAATTCAGACTTCAAGCAGGAGAGCCAGTATGATGGATTACCTTTGTGTACATGAGCACTGACAGAAGATTGAGAGAGGAGCTAGAGATCATGAAGGATAATTGGGGGCAAGTATGGGGTCTAGCTGGAGATTGGAACGATTTGTATAGAGCAGAGGACCAAAAGGGAGGCAGAAGCAGGGTGCCATCAAGTTTGCAAGGATTTCAGAATTTCATTTCCAATATGCAAATGGAGGAGGTAATCAGGA